CAGACCGGACGTGGCAGTGCATCTATCAATCCCTAACAAAAAAAGACACAAATTACAGATCTGAGAGTACCCGCATCTAGTTCAAAACCAATAACCACTAAAAGAAATCATGTATCTAAGACAAAAATACAATGGAGTTAGTGTAAATACGTCATTAACAGTCAGAGAAAAACATGACCTTGTGCAATGCCAAAATGTAGGTATCGACAGATTGTAGTACCGTGAAAGTGCACTATGTGTATACTTATAATATTTAGTATGGTTTTAATATACTGATAACACAATCAATATTTATACCAATACAAACAATATTTAAAGATCTAATTACAGTGTTCTATTGGTAACCTATTAGAAAAGGTTACCCGGATTGTATCTATATTTCTGGACTCGGTAAACAACATCACCGTCGATTTAGGATGAGCTATTCCGTTGGAAATAAATTTTCTGCAGGTACATCCAAACTTACATACCAAATCTTTGTATCTACCGAAGTCTTTAGTAAAGGTTTTAACTTATTTGTGGTAACGGAATCCACGACTTAATAATTTACCTAATTTACCAGTAATACATAGATAACGCTCATTGAAATCCAAAAAGTCACTACAGACACGGGCATAGCGAACAAGTTGGGATATATAAACACCGTAGGAATGTGCCAAAGGAACATCATCGTCCAAAAAAGGAAAATTAACAAGAGGGAAAGTAAAATCATTCCTTTTGTCGTAAATATTTTTGTAGAGTTTCTGGTGTAAAACTGAAATATCTAAATCTAGGAAAGGACAGTTGTTGCTGTTAATATTTGATTTATTTAAAGTAAGTTCCTTTGGGTAAATTTCGTCAGTATATTTAGAGGATTCTTCATTATTTAACGAAAAATATCATGTATGTATTTACTACTAAGTATATAATAAATATGTGTAAGAAAGGGAAATAACGATAGATATTTTTATGCTGGCTGTTTTGAACTGAACATAAAATCGACAACATTATGAGATCTGTACGGCTGCTTTAACGGATTTGATAGTTGTATTTTTCAGCGTCCACTTAGATAGACAACATCAATTGTAAATGAAACGCAAATGGTATCAATATACCTTTTAGAATAGGTAATTTTGTCAAGCGAATAACTGTTCGAATTATGCTTTTAATATATTACAGTAAATTATGACTTATTATGAAGGTTGACTATAGAACTAGTTTTTTTATAGTGGCCCATAGCTTCATCATGCATCCTACAAAACTAAAGAACACTCCAAACACAAGAAGTCGTCAATCAAAAACATAGATGGTAACTTCGAGTTATCATTCTTTCTCTTGTTCTTTCTTCACAATTGTCAAAAACTATGCAATGTCCTTTAATTTTATTTAAAAATTGGTGTAGAAAGATATGAATTATCATATGAATAAGATTTTGATAATAACTTACAAATAACTATATAAGGATTCAAACAATAATTGTTTTTTTTTGTCCCGACAGTTTACTAAATGGTAAAAACATATAATAATAGCTCTGCAAGAAAAAAAAGTAGTAAAACGATTACCTTGACAATGGTAATCCGAATGGATATTTTTGTATGCATCAGATTGTTAATGGTAGTATATAAAGTTCATACAGTTCTACGTTTGATGGATTCCAAGAGCAGAAGAGGAAGAAGACCAAGAAGATAATAATGTTTTTGATGAAAATGATAGGCACAGATTCTGTAAATTTAGTTTACAATGATAGCTTTGACGAAACCTATTTATTTTTAACTGCAAAAAACAGCAAATGCAAAAAAGATACCAAATGGATATTCAAACTCATTAGTCGAAAACAAACTGATAATTAATTATCGTATCTACATGGTTTTGAAAATTATTTTGACAAATGGAAAAGGCTTGTATGTGTTATAAAAATTTCGAATGATGAATTATTAACTTTTGTACCGCCAACTTGAAGATATGTTATTCAATTGCAATACGCTAAACTTGGTCATTAATGTAGTTAAAAATCCAAATAGAATAATATGTTCCTTCTAAAAAATTATCAACAAAATGTTCTTTATTGAAACATTATTTTTTCCTCACTCTTTAATCTTTATGTGTCATAATGCTGTTTTATTCATTTATATTTATCATATGTTGTATAACGCTGTTGATCTTTTGAAAAAAGGTTTATGTACCATGCGCAGTATGCATGCTTCTGATAAAACAATAAAGACAGGTGTAGAAACTTCAATTTCTTGCACTGTCAAATTAAACCTAGTGTTGCAAAAATATAGAGCAAAAAACTCAAATATTATAACTAGTATGTGCTAAATGTAGTTATCGTGCTTATTGAAGAATAACGACAAAAGAGAGGGTAGGTTGAGAGAGAGACAGAGCAACTTCTTGTTCTGACAAACTGAATTGTATTACCAATGAAAATTTAAACCACATAATTCGATGGTTAGAAGAAAACGAATCAGTGTTGTATCATATACTCAAGTCATTTAATTTATGTAAAAATCAACGCAGCACCATGAAAGAGGATCTACTTGACACATTTTTATTTCACTCAAACAGCTTTTATAAACTCAAGTCAGACGTTTGTTATTTACAGTTGTTATTAATTTGTGCTATTCCCAGAAGAGCTGTCTAGTCACAGGCTAGTTGTGTCTTTCTTAATGGAACTTATCAATTTATCACCAATAAATTGGAAATTATTGACATAAAAACATTTTCTTAAAAGGTCTCAGATTATAATTCCCCATGAATATTGTGTTAACGGGTATTGGCAGCCAGTCAAACAAGCTTAATGTGTCAAGTTTTCATTACTTTCTGATCAAATTTCTATGCGACCCGCAGACCCTACTGTATACCACATCTAAATAAGATACGTTGGAAAAATAAACATCGGATAATAACTTTCGTTTGTACATTGCTTAAACGTAGTTCATATAATGCTACGGGTATTATCAAAAACAAAACAAAAAAATGATAGGTCACTTTTTAAATATGAGGTGACAGCTCTTATGAACAGTTTATCTTCTTCTAAAAATGAAAAAAAAAAACCAGCAAAAAAACGTTGGGTTTCGTTTTCTTGCCACTGAAAAAAAAAACGAATATGCAATGCATCCTTTAAGAAAACTAAGTTATCATTTCGTTATATATCATTTTGTCATAAATTAATTACAATATTATTTATATTGGTACACATATTACAACTGTAATAAAAAAAAAAAAAAATTCGGCGTCATCATTTGCTAATTACAGTAATAACGCATCACGATTTACAGATCATTTAATACATATATACATCAACTCAATTAAGTGATTCGCGTAACACAAGTGTTTTTAATTGAAAACAATACTTCTTAGTGTAAAGCTTCTTCTTGACGATAGTTTTTTTCATACTTATATTATAGTAATGAAATCAATAAAGTATGCACCTTATACAATTGGTGTTGCTTTAGTAAACTCTTTAAATTTCGAACTTTGGTAAATGTGGAAAGCCTCGGTAGAGGTCTTACTAGAGATTTCCAATAAAATGACATTACTCGACATAACCAACCCATCTGACCGTACCTCGGCCTATTGCATTGAAGGATGACGGAGGGGAGCATAGACTGCATGAATTTTTGGCTCGTTGAATACACGTACTTTGTTGGAATCGATGCTATTTAAAAATTAGCACAAACTACTATTTCAATTCTTTACATATTTTGTTATTAAATTTGGAATGATTTCATTGACAACAACCTTTAAAGGGAATAATTAATAATTAATTCATAATTCATTACAGTTACCGGTAATCAAACGCACCGATCATTACTTCGTCATTTCACTTGACCCATATAGTTATCTCTCAAACGATGAATTCTAAAAGCTACTAAATCAAAATTAAGTTTGAAACATATAAATAATGGAATCTGAAGAGATTTCATATTCCCATTTTTGATTTAAAAGATATCAGATTAAAACAAGAGTTTCAAACACGCCGGAAGGTAAAAGGCGTACACGACTTGCTTCTTCTTTTTTTTATAGCATACTTCTATAATTCATTTCAAGATACTTTTGTCAAAGGTAAAAATTCAGATCACTGATGCATCTTTCTGATAGTACTTTGTCACCTTTCCGTAGAATTTTATCAAATGGAATTTATGAGGAAGCATCTTCAAGAAAAAATATGATTACCATTTACTGAATCAGTTAATTTTTTATATCTTGTCTTTAATTATAATGATGCATGGATTCTAGGAAGAGCCCGTACAAACGTATGCGTAATTTAACGTTAATGCTCTTAAATTGTTTTTCTAAAATGTTTGGCGTTTAACTTAATATACAGATACGTATGAAAAACGGACATGTACGGAATATTTGATTGAAGTTTTGTTAAGAGCCAATCTGCCAGAAAACCATGCAAAACCGTCCGAATGTCACTTTTTCCAAATGAGTTCATATTTGGCATATTGGTGCACCTTAGTAATGTAAATAACCACACACATTTTTTTGGGAAAATATTGAACCGATCTGGATATTTTTTGAGCGCCATGTTTTAACAGATGAAATTGCTCGAAAACAGCAAAAATAAGCCTTTTTTGGCATATTTCACTGATTTAAATAAAAAAATATGGTAACATTTATAATTTTTTGATAGTTGTTCCTAGTAAAACATCACTTTAAGTGTAAGAATGCATAGAATTAACAATGCTGTCTATTATGTGTATGTATAATCTAACTGTTTCAATATGTCTTATTTAGCTACATGTCCAAAATGGCTGATTTTGGTCATCTTTCAGAGCCAAAATACTCCAAGACCCGTTTATTATTGTAAAACAACATATCTACTTGCAAAGTATAACTATATATACCCAATCAAAAAAAATATCAAGCTCGGCAAATAATGTTGGTGTCTGGTATATGCCACAACAAAATGGGGTAACCTGCATATTCAAATTTTCTCAATTTTGCCGTCTAATTTGTAACTACTGACATATGATAGGATCTGGACTTATAAATAAGTATAACAACAAATGGAAAAGAATAATTAATGTTTCATTTAATACATGAAGAAAATAATCATACATAAATACAAATTATTCATTATAAATCTAGAGGCTCCCAGGAGCCGAAATAGATCGTATTGACAAATTGTGCACCTAAAACGATAAAAAAACACATATTTCAAATGCAATCAATTTAAATTAGAAGTTAAACAATTCAGAATAAGTTCAGACTGTAAAAAAAAGTTTCTTCTGACCACTTTTGCAATTTATTCTTATAATATATTGATATAGTTGTCGGATAGTAGCAGAAAACTGTGAAAGTTTGTAAATTTACTAATTTCAGGGACAATAGCTCATAGATGTTATGTCCAATTTTTCAGAAAAATGTTGGGTATTTAGATCTTGTCATGTTGATAGTTTTTATCAATATATATATATATATATATATTGAAAAGTTTTTAAATTTTGTATACATATGTATATGTATGACACTTCTTCTAAAGTTATTAAGATGATGGTTTAAAAGTGAAAACTGGAAACAGCTGATTTTAACAGACACTTGTTGATGGAAATTTTTTTATGCCCCTTTGAGCCTAGTATGCTAACAAGGCAAGATTTGCCAGGTACCTATATCTATGTTGCTGCAATGTGGTCAATACAAACATGAAAATCATAAATGCTTCTAAAAAAAAATCCCATAACTAGACGAAAAACAAATTACTTAGTCTATATATACCAGTGCAAAATTTATAAAGAATTTTAAATGAAATTGGATAGCTGTTAAGATTACTGTACCTATAAAGCTCTACATCACATCCTCGGAGATAAAAGAATTAAAATAAGTCATATGAATCTTCAAATTTCAATAAAGTTGAATGTGTTTTTTTATACTTGAACGGCTATAGGTTTTACTATAAAACAAGTGTACATTAACTTTCTTGTAATAGAAAAACCATAACATTAAAATCTCCATAAATGATGAACTGTTATTTTTTGAGACATCATCCCATGGAAGATTTAACTGATGTTTTAAAGTTGGAAAGTTTCTGTTGCTTGTTTGGTTGGTTGAAATTGTTTCTGTTAGAAGCATTATCAGTCTCCCAATCTGATGTTGACTGCTGTGAAAGTTCAGTTGTTGTTGACACTGACAGAAAGGTTAGATGCAAGTCTAGATCTGAAAACCACAAAACATACATACATAAATCAGGCTGTTAGTTTTCATATTTTTTCATTTTCTTATTTTGGGGCCTTTTATGGCTGAATATATATGCAGTATAGGTCTTGCTCATTGTTGAAGGCCATATGGCGTATGAAGACCTATAGCTTTACTTCTATGTCATTTGTTCTCATTGGCAATCATACCACATTTTTTTTTAATTTCATATATACCACTGACAGGAAATAAAATTGACAACTTTTACTGTAAGTTGATGCAATTACAAAATTCTCCCAACTAAAGCCAAATCATTTTTGCAGAATAGTTATTATCCACTCCTTTTAAGCATGTCCAAATAGCCCTTAACATCCTTACAATAATAAAAATTGCGTCCATTTCGTTTGGCATGTCAAATTACCTCTCAATATAATTTTACATTGAAAACAGACAATGGTGATAATTTGACCGCTTTTAGTGACAATCTTTGAAATGGTGGCCATCTTTATATCTGTTCTCTGTGTCAAAGTACAGCTAAATATCAATATTCTTTAAAATCAAACTCAACAAAATTGAAAATTTTACCCTTTATTTGCTGTGTCCATCTTTAAAAAAAAATTTCATTGTTTTGTTGGCATGTCAAAAGTGCTATAATTCCTTAATGTCAATTTTCATATAAGGCCATCTTGAAAATGTTTGCCATTTTGGAAGAAAAAACAACCTTACTTTGTTTAGCAAGTCAAACTACCACGACTATCCCTAATTAACAATTTTCATTAAATTAACCAGTGTTGAAATTTGTGCCATCCTTGGTGGCCATTTTGAAAATGTTTGACATCAGATAATCATCCACATATTGTGCTTTGTTTTCACTAAAGTTTCATTTAAAAAGATAACACCAGTTATCTCAGAAAAGGACAAATTTTGTGGAAGATGAAGAAAAAATGCAAGTTTGGACAGAACATTCAAGCTACACAATGTATAACAGCTCTAAATTTGTAATGGGATTAAATATTTGACAAAGAATAGGTTTCTAACACAGAATAAATATGGTATAAAGATAAAGTTTAATAGATTCAGCATATCAGAGAACCCCAAGATCAAATTAAGATTTAAAATTTAGTTTAATTTTGGACCCTTTGGACCTCAATGTAAACCAATTTCAAAATAGGGCCCAAAAACTAAATACAGGTTAGATTCAGGCTGAATCAGCATCTTTAAAATTATTGTTGAAATCAAACACAGTTAAATTATGGACCCCATTTGAACCAACTTGAAAACTGGGACCAAAATCATAAATCTAAGTACATATTTATATTCAGGATATTTGATTATTTCTATTTATCATTCAAAGAACCCTAATTCATTGTAATTAGAGTTCAAGTTTTGTTAAAATTAAACTAAGTTAAAATTTGGACCCTTTGGACTTTAAAATGTGGACAAATTTGAAAACCAGACCAAAATTAAAAATCTAAATATAAAACATTTGCATTTTGTATATCAAAAGAACCTCAAGAATTCAAGTTGTGTAGAAATAAGAAAAAAAATTTGGACCATTTTGAAATCAATGTGAACCAATTTAAAATGGGGCCCAATTGCAACATCATAAATTATTTAAATACATTGTTAGATTTAGCATATTAAGAACCCAAATAATGTATTTATTTTAATTTGTTCTTGTCCTAAACATGCATGAACTATTTGCCATTGGACATTAGCATTACCAACAACCAATCAATTAATCGAACAGGTGAAATATCTTCAAAAGTACCAATAAAAATCTCCCCCTTTTATATTTGAAAAAGTAAAATCACAAAAATACTGAACTCAGAGGAAAATTCAAAAAGGAAAGTCCCCAATCAAATGGCAAAATCAAAAGTTCAAACACATCAAACGAATGGATAACAACTGTCATATTCCTGACTTGGTACAGGCATTTTCTTATGTAGAAAATGGTGGATTGAACCTGGTTTTATAGCTAGATAATAAACCTCTCACTTGTATGACAGTCTCATCAAATTCCATTATATTGACAACGATGCGGGAACAAAACAAACAGACACAATAGGTAAAATTGTCAAAAATAGGGGTACAGCAGTCAACATTGTGTTATCATCTTAATCACTATAAAAGCAAACAAATGTAACAAAGAAGCACAAAAAGGCATACATCAAATTTAACATCCTCATTTTGCTTATATTATACGATTTTATATATCTATGTAAAATCCACCCATAAAGGATGGAAGGTTTTAAGTACTGGCGTAAAATTGCGCGTTTGAAATTCGCACAGGTAGACATAATAAAAATAATTTTGTCGTTCAAAGTATGACGGGATACAAAATACAGAGTCACGTAAAATGGATATCACAAAAAACAGACTTAACAGTAAAAGTAATACGTATTAATAAATAAAATAATTGAAATGGAATGTATGAACAGTTCATTAGTCATTGTTAGTTATTGAATGGAAACTATAGGAGCCGCCCAATATAGTACTACAAATTAAAATTAGCAAAGTGATTTTTCAATGGGAAAACCAAGTTAACAAAGACCTGTTTAATAAAACTGATGTACAAATGTATAACATGTAATTGTATAATTATGTTTTTATATAAGTGATTACATATACTTTGTATGATTACCATGTTATACAAACAGTTAAATTAATATATAAGTTAATAATAACTTACCAATATCTTCTTCTATACATGTATTTAGTTTGACCTGGCTATTGTCACTTTTACAAAAATTCATCTTAATTGAGCATTGCTTGCATATATATAGCCCTACAAATAAAAAGTGTTAAACTATAAAATAATTCTTCAATTTTGTTTTACATGAAATAAAATATATCAGACAGGAAATGTAGGGTAGTGTAGCATCACTTTGCATGTAGTTTAAATGTATGTTTTTTCTTTTAAAAAGGGCTCTATAAGTAATCTACATACATGTACATGTACATGTAGGGTCCTAAAATTGAACTTTACAAAAGTTTGCAATGCTTTTGATTTTTTTAGTCTCCATGGCCTATTAGTTCATTAAAAAAATATTATTCTCTGGATAAAGTTGTCTAGTGTTACATGTACAGTTTGTTGTATGTAAAACATGTATTTGTAGGAGGCTTTTCCACGAGATAAAAGTTTTTTTAGTAGACAAAGAGCTGAACAACTTCCAGTAAGAACTGAAAATATAACTTAGGGGAAGAGAATAAAAACCTGACCTGCTAAACGTTGAATATGTTGAAATAGATTTTGATTATTATCATGATTCTGGTCTATAAATTGATTTTTTAAAGCAGAAAATAAATATATATTGTACCCTGGTTAATAGCTTGAAAATTAAAATTCTGTCCTAAGCTGACAAGGACATAAATATTTTGACCATTCTAACCCTCCCCCTTGCTTTTTTAATCAAATGGTCCCAAGACAGAACAATGTATATACAGATATAAATTATTTGCTTGCACTTTGCCATAGGAAATAAATAAGATGTCTTAGAAACAGGTCAGGTGTAAAAGAATATTCACATGCCCCTTCAACACCCCCCCCCCCCCCTTTTTTTAATCTAGCTAATGTATCAATTGTTGGTCCCCTAATTTCAGATTGAATATATGGAACAAATGAAAATTGATTGTAAGATTTGTACCTGTTCCTACTGGAATAACTCGTCCTGTATACAGCCTGTTTTGAAAGGGTGAAGATCCTTGGTCAGCTTTGGCTTTGCTGGAAGAGGGTTGGATGAGATGTTGACATCTTGCTTGACTATCATGTCAATGAATTCCATAAAAGTCCCTGTACTTCAAGCATATTCAAAGACAAGATGATGTAACAACCATGGGAAAATAAACCACTCCTTGTCTTATATAAAATAAGGAGTCCTGTTGGAAATTCTACACCATAGTTTTCAGTATTATTCAGACTTCCTAAATGTAGATGAATGGTAGTCTGTATCTGTATGAATATGTTTGGTTACCAATGCTGGTTTCAATACCACGGTAGAGAGAGTGTCGTTGATTTATTGATGGTGCGCCAGAGCAGTTTTGACACTCTCAATCTCAATTTTGGTGCGAGCAAGGTGGTTCCACTCACTCACCTTTTTTTTTACGAAGAATGATTTAGAATACTTTTGTTTTGCTCGTTGAAATCTAAAAACACTTTTTGCTGTTCATGGAATTATTTTTCCAATCAATATGTATCATGTTTATTCACTAAATTATTGTCATGATTGTCAAATTTCTTGGCAGTACATTTTAATTATTTTTTTTTTGGAAATGCTATTTTGGTCTTTAGTGCATTCAGATATCTTAAATAGTTTGTAATATGTAGATGTATAAGGCTGGGATAGCCCACATGCTCATCCTAGAATTTTAAAGTCACAAACTTCACTGAAAACATTTGTCTGCCAAACCATCACTGGGAGCTGACATGTTTGAGATCTTACCCAAGGGAGATAAGTCAATGGAAGAGCATAAAAGATGGACTCCCTGGTTTCAGACAATTAATGGATTTTTGGACTTGCAGTACAAATACGTCTTATTTCATTTTTCAGGCAAATTGATTTTACTTGTTCGAATGATTTTATGAGCCATTTTAGTACCAATTGTGTTTAGAATTTAATTAAAATCAAAATTAAAATGTGTCAATTTGGGACTAAAATCACCATTCTTCCAAGGCATAAATTAACATATAATAGTCATTTGCCAAGCTTAATATTTTGTTTTGATATAAAACATTCCCCATAGTTAAAACCGATATAAGTTGCAAACAAATCCGGAATGGGTCTTGCAAGATAGAAGCGAATGAAAACCACGTAAATTCATGTATGAAAAACCCCGCCTTTGTGTCCCTGCTCCTGGCAATGTGCCAAATCGTTTAAATTTTCATTTGTATTGATCATAACATAGTAAAATGGATGAGTTTCAGCTGACATTACTCTAAAAACTCAACTACCCCATTTAATATGCTTCTGGGTCATTCTTAAAAGGCATAAAAAAGTTGGATTTTTCATTGGTTTCATTATGAATTTACAGAATTATGCAAATGAGGCTGTTGCTAAAAATAGATACGATTCTGGGAAAAATTAAGTGGTCAAATTCTTTTATTTTATGTCAAGGATTAAGATGATGTATAAAAATTTGTCAAGTTGTGATTGTCGATTTGGACGATTTTCTGAATATTGCATGGTTTTCTGGCGGATTGGCTCTTAAGTAGGATGATCATTTTAGTTTTAGGACAAACTTATGAATGATAGCAAGGGGATATTATATTTACTGGTCTGTGCATCCGTCCGTTCTTCTGTTCTGTTCAAAATATAAAACGTTTAAAATTATATACCAAATTAGAGTTTGAACCGGATTAAGTGGTGCATGGAAATATGATCATGTGAAGGGGCACGGTGTCTTAAGGCCATACATTCTTGTTGCAAATGTTTTGATTAATACACGTACATGTATATGTATCTTCCATATTTATAACTGTCTCTTTGGTCGCGCGCTCGCCTCGATAGTAACCCCTCAAAGGTGATCGGGGGAATAAAAATATAGTCACTATTGGTCTTGTTCCGATCGGCAGTTAAAGTTGGGAGTCCGTTTGGTTGTGTGCGATGTACAAGTACGCAGTCCTGTTCGGTCAGAGTGGGGACGTTAAATCCGATGCCTCTTGTAGAGAGAATGTCACTCTCTGTACACGTTAATTATGCATGAAATATTTGCCACTGGACGTTAAGCACCAACTATCAATCAATCGACAGTAGCGTAACTTAAATTTTATTTCTGGTGAGACAAATGATTTGAATCTTGGCAGTCAAAGCCCCACCTTGATTAAAAGACGTCAATGCCAATAGGGAGTGGACGCTTAATTGAAAATATGAATCGCAAAATAGGTGTATTGATCATACTCTTGATAGGTCAAACAATGGCAAAAAGATCCTGTCTATGAAAAATCCAAATTTGTGGAATTTTATCATGAAATAATATTGATAGTGCGCATTAAATCAATATATTTCAATGAAACTGCTGCTTAAAGGTTTAATTCTCAGTATTCAATTACAGACAGGTCCTGATCAAAACAAAAATAATTGACAGCATTGTATGTATGACCTCCTCTAAAATGCTTTTGTACAGATTTGGGGATATTAAGTTTAAGATCCACTATGTCTTAAACTTTTACGTTTAGCTTTGGTCAAAATGTATGGATGATAATAACTGGGTGAACTATGAAGTCTTGCTTATATTAACCAAGGTAGATGAGTACTACATAAAATGTAGGGATGCCAAGTGTCTGTTGAAAACTTTGTCCACCAAAAGTAACAAGTTCGTTGTCAAAAAAAAAAAATCAATCATCATATCAGTTTCACAGTTAAGACCTCTTGTTTGAATCAGTTTTTTGCGAGGTATACCTTTTCTGTTACTTAAAAAAGATATTTGCATCTGTCTTGTTCATTTTATGGAAGAACGTTTTCAAGACGTTAATAATGAGGAATGAGTGAGTAAAGAGTAAATCAGTCAACGTTTTGAACAGTCGTCACTCAGTAAACTTTATACTATAACGTACGTGGTATATAGTTCTCTTTATCTCTCTGTTTTAATGGTCAAAAATTGGGTGAGGCGGTTGGGTGAGGCGGTTGCCTCATTGCGTCAATGAAAGATACACCACTGCTCGAGTGCAGGAAGTCTTGGGCTTGATCCTCGCCCGTTTCAAATCGAAGATTGGCTGCCTCTCTGCCAAGCAAGCAATATTTAGGAATTAGAGCAAAGATTAGTCGGTCCGGGTAGAAATCATGTGTCCGGGTAGGATGACATTTCTTTCTGCGGTATAATACAAAGTCTTGTTTATATTCATCTTCACGTACTAAATATGCATATGTAAAATACATATGCAACGAACACTTATATATATATGGCCTTACATCCTATTAATGCTTTTATTTTTTGTTCCACTTCTAACGTTGCCTATATCCCCCCTTTTCAAAATCCTGGATCCGCATCTGGCAACGATATCTTATTATATTCTGTTGTTTAATGTTACTTACTTTACACATTTCCGTTAATGATTTATTCAGTAAAATGAATTCGGTGACCCCCTTTTAATTGTTTATCAATAAAATGGATAAAATACTATAAGTTAATTTACTTCAAGGGGTATAAAAAAAATGCCTGGAAATGTCTTTTGTATTTGGACTCCGATAGCATTCCCGTTAAACAAATTAATACAGAACAATCCCTAATCGAACACACCTTAATATAAAAAACAACATATATAGGGATTTTTTTATCAATACATTTTATAATAAATGAAAAATACTTTTGTTTAGAAATTAAATGGAATCGATAGTTTTTCTCAATTTTCAACTTTAATAAAGAGACAGATTCTGACAAACTCTGGTTTCGATATTTCTGAAATTGTCAGAAAAATATCGTTCTAAATATTTCCCCCGCAACAAATATAATAAAAAGATAGATAAACTATAAAGAAAGACAGAAAAAAAGTATAATGGAGCGTTTATCTGCAAAGTATATTGGAAAATAATTGTCATATTCAAAACCATGAAAGATAACTCAAATCGTACGTATGATAGGTATGGGATACGTCTGTTTATACGTGATCTTATGTCAGTGAAAATAAAGGCGGGAATCTGGAAAACCACGTGATAAATAAAAATGCAAGATTTCTATCATTTTTCGTCATGATAAAATTTTTTATATGGACGAAAAGTCCAGTGTGTGATTTTAAAAGTCTTGGAATACTTTGTTTAAACTTGAGCGACGTATTTAATCAAATTCAATGGTTGGCAATAACCAGTCCCATTAGGTCCGTTAGCTATGGAACAAACAACAAAATCAACTTCAGTGTTCTTCTAATGTGTACACATGTATACTGTTGTCAACAATAATACAAAAAGAGAGAACAAAACTCCGCCGACGACATTACAATAAGGTAAGAGAACGACCATACCGATAAGGTAAGCGTACGTTGCTTTGCATGTACAGCCCAATGGCAATCCAGACCAAGTCTGTACTTATATCTTATTAATACAATCAATATTGTTACACGTGAGGCAGATGAAATATGCAAGAATAAAAAGAGTTAATTTAGATTATACGTAAAAAGACACCAATTCAAACAGATTGGAACTTTTTTGGTGTGTGAATTCGTGTTGACATGTGGCAATGCTCTAACCTAAAATGAAAGTATTTGTTTAAAACCTAGTTCTTGGTAAGAAATTTCAAAGATGAAATAATAAGTTCTTATAGTAATACATACACATTAAACTTATTTTCGTATATGTTTGAAGCAAGATGTAAATATAGCAAGATCATTAGCCTTATTGTTATGTCCAGTTATTACACGAAATTTGAAGGTGGACTTTAAATGCCCGACGGATAATACATTGTAAGATATCAATCACTTTCCAATTACACAAAACTATACAATCTCAAAGAAAGCTTGCATGCTGTCATCAAAAATAAATAATTATTTGTGACTCGAGGGAAATCTGCTTAATTATTTGAAATTAAGATTGATGGTTTGTTTATTTGACTTGGACATTACAGTCACTGTATCAAAGAAATCTTTTAGCAGTAATTAAAACTAGGTATATAGCATGTAATGAAAATCAGCATGTTCCGTTTGCATATCATATATTGAATTCAATTGTACACTTAATACACATTGTCATAGTTTTCGATGAAATAAAACAATACATACATTTTGCATAGGTATTTAACATTCTGCAGACAAAAAGGACAATAGAAATACCGAACTCCAAGGTAAATTAAAAAAAGTCCATAAAAACTTACAAAATCAAACGTTATCAATCAACGGAATGAGAGCAAAACAATTGTCATATTCTTGACTTGGTACAGGCATTTTCCAAAGAAAATGTTAGGTTAAACTGGTTTTATTGATAGCTAAACCTCCTACATGTATGAAAGTTGCATATAGTTATATTGACAAAATTGGGTGAGCAACCCAAACAGACATAATAGGTAAATGTGACAATGATTGGGATCCAGCAGCCAAAGTTGTTTAAACAAACATGATTTTTAACTAAAAAATTCAAACAAAGATACAGATAAATCTAATAAAGACGCCAGGGACGCTTAAATTGAAAACCCCGATAGCGGAATACATAAATACCGAGTCATTTCAAAAGTCGTAAGACCAAAAGAAACACAAAAGTTCGAAGACAAACAATGGTAAAAATATAAAGCAAATTAAAAGACACCAAGAATCTATCACACAAGACCATTTTGTATTTATTGTGTAGTAGACACTAAATAGTTATCTATTAGATCTTGGAGCTTTCCGATAAACATTTTGAGAAATAGGACGAGACGTTCTTTGACAAAACCCTGGCTCATTAGTTTTTTGCTCAGACACAGGTGACGTTTTACAAAGTCTGAGTAGTAGCTGCAAGCTCTTGAATTTCGAATGAGTTGAGAAATGTATATTCTATATACAGGTGAAGTTTGTATACTGCTGCTAAGGTGA